CGGCCAAGGGCGGATGGTACGTACGAGCAGACCGTATTTTAGAAATACAACGAGGAACGAAAGTTTAACTAATCTTATTGACTTGTACTAATCTACAACAAAAAAAGTGTGAAGGAAAATATTACGCGTTTCTTTGGGAATTTATTGCAGGTCTGTGCTATTATTATACAATACTGTATAGTTTAAGTTTTGTGTACCCCCCCCTCACTTCTCTCATATGTGCGCATTATAATAAACGGCATGTAAACGTACAAACTGTTAGTTATGTACACAAGGTAAGCCTAATGAATTCCCTCAAGCCATAGACAATTTACTATAGCAACATGATAAACAAAAACGTTTACCTTTGTAGACACATTGAACATTTTAGGAAATAACTGTGGTACTTGTATTAAACATTTAGTCTTCGTGTGTTTTGTTTTGGAATATAATAAATTTTCGATGCTATGATTGAGATTAACATACAATATTCTACTTCAAACTAAGGTGAAAATTCGGTAATGTATTAGGTCCAAAACAGGGTCAGGTCCGCGGTCAAGTGACATAGTACACTTACTATTTTTACTTTTTTTTTCTATCGCCTCTACAGAAACGTATTTATACGTTTCGGCAGCCCAGATTTCTTGGCGAAAATTGATGCACTGCTTAAATCTTAAATTTGTGTCTTCTAATCAACTTTTCTGAAGCTTATTTCTTTCAACACTGGTACTGTGAGTAGAAGTCACGGTCACTACATTAACTTCCAAGAAAGGTGCAATCTCTACAAAGGGGTTCATTAACCTCAAACTACATTTAGAACAGCGGACTTAACTGCAACATATTTCGGAAAAAAGAAGAAAACAAACAAACTAGATTTGGATAGAGGTGGTATAAAGAAAGAAGCTTCTGAAAACTTTCTGTAGCAGAAGACTTAATATAAGGTTACAAACTACCAACTTGTCTCGTTTGTAATAATTATTATTTCTTGTAATTATTTCATGCACCTTTGGCACTTGTAAACCAGATTATTTCGAGGAAAGAAATGGTGGTGGTGGGTTGGTATAAAATTTAAGTTAAAAAAGAGCAAAAGCAAATTACGGGTAAAAAGTAAAAAAAAAAAGATAAAACAAGCCAAAAACAGAACAATATCCGTAAATGATGTTAAAAGATTAAAATGAATTAAAAAGGCCGATGGCCCTTAAAAAGCTAAAAACACTCAATTTAGACAGTGTCATCATCGCCAGTGACACAATCGAACGTTAAGAGAAAACCCCTAGAAAAAAAAAAGTATGAAATGATGCCAACGTTCGCAGTCGTAGCAACAGCACAAAAGTAAAACGTGGGCAATAGTGACCTGGATGTCACAAAAATCACACATTGGCGGATCTGTCCCTTTGCAGAAGAAAACGTTGAGTCACGTGGAGAAATAGAACCAACTAAATAACCTTGTAACTTAGTGTTTTTATAACACTTAAAACAAGTAAATAACCTTGTAACTTAGTGTTTCATAACATTTAAAACGTAAATTAGCCACATTAATTGCTGCTTTGTTTCATATATATATATGCACTTTGTTAGCTGCATGTCTCTTTGGTAATACATATCTTTAGTCAAGTGTAAATGGTGATAACATCCACTTTAGCAGTAAAGATAAATTAAATATCTCGTTTCACTGATACGCTCGAACCGTTTTAACAACTGTCTTCGAAATCTTTTCCGAGTGAAGGGGACACCATTAAAACGAAAGTCTATTATATCAAACAGCTGCTTGACAATCCTTTCAGGAATCGGAGGGGGGGGGAATCTCTAGTACACACACTGAAGTAGACAGTGATCGAATAGTTATATTTCATTGTCAGAGCTAAAACATTAAAATTAAAGAGCTTATAAAATATATTTTAATATTTGCCTAATTTGCACTATCATCTACTAAATCTCTCATACTGTGTGTTTTGTTTGTTTATTTTAGCGCAAAGCTACATGATAAGCTATCTGTGCTCTTCCCTCCTTGGTGAATCGAACCCCGGATTTTTAGGGTTGAAAGTCCGTAGACTATCTGCTAAACCGCTTGCGAACTTTATATTAATACTTGACGTATACTGTTTTCAGTTAAAGTCTTTAAAATGTTTGTAGCTATTGTTAAAGTTGAGAAAAGATAGAATAAAGAAGTGAAATTTTAGACAAACGGGATTTAGATCAGATTCTGGAGTATGAAACCGGACACTATAGTATCAGTATTATAACTGTAAAAAAAAAAGACAACTAACACACGAAACTTAGTTTTATTCCCAGTATAACGGATTAATTAAGTCATCCAAGATACCATACCGTCTACACAGTCTACAACGATTTCGCTTCAAATCCTAATCTATTAGATGTTTTCTTTTTCAAATCGCTTAAACAAATAAAAAAAAACAACAGCATGTATTATTAAATAACGATTATGAACTCAGAAGAAAAAAACTTCCCATGGTTGTCCTTATTTTTCAAATGTGCATTTGTTCAATAATTGAAATACATGGGTTTTTCTGGGTTTTGCTTGTTTTACGATTCGTGCATTTTGAAACAAAACACCTTGCGTCTTCTCGGTTTTAAACGAAGAATATATTAGGAATCAATTCTGTAATACTGTTGCCATCTCTGATTTATTTTTATCTTAAAACAAAAAGCATGGAACTAGATTTAGTTTTTAGCTATCTCAGATTTTTATAAATTTTAAAACAAAAAGCATGGAACTAGAGTTAGTTTTTAGCTATCTCAGATTTTTTTAAATTTTAAAACAAAAAGCATGGAACTAGAGTTAGTTTTTTGCCATCTCTGACTTTATCTGAAAACAAAAAAGCATGGAACTAGATTTAGTTTTTTTGCCATCTCCGAATTTATCTTGAAATGAAAGCACGGATCCAGATTTAGACTTCTAAACTTCTATTAATTAAGGTAAAGTATGAGTGAGGTGTATGAATTCCTCAGCGGATCTAATTCTAAAAATCTAATTTTAAAATAAGACAAACCGATATCGCCCCCCCACACACACACACAAGTTTGATGTGAAGTATGAAGTTGCGTAATAAGCTATCTGCACACTACCCACGGTGGGTTTCGAAACCCGCATTTAGCATTACAAGTCCTCGGACTTATCGCTGAGCAGAAGGGGAGACACCCAAAATGGAAAAAAAATTGAAGAAATGGAAAACTTACGAGTTATTATTTACATTTTTACACGCACACTGAATAGCATTGTTTCAATGAAAGTACTTTCTTTTCTTGTGTGTTAAATTTTGATCATTTCTTTGAGTTGAATTCTAACGGATTTGGTATGTGTGTTTATCGTAATAAATATTGAAAGAACGCTACCTCAACAAATCGCTTCAGTGCATTTCTTTCTTGTGGTGTCTTTTGGATAGATAAGTATGACAAATTGTTGTTAAGATGGTATAAATCGCTGTTTGCATACTTTTGTTTTGTCTGACCACAAAGAAAGTCAAAAATCTGTTTAACCTAAAATACTAAGTCTTCTGTAAAATGTCACACTTACAAGTGACTGCGGACGCATGCTCATAACCAGGATACCGGTTATTTTGGTAGCGTGTTCATTTTCTGTTCAATATGCGGGCATGATAGTTAAAGGAAGTATTTTGAAGAGAGAGAGAGGTAAATTGATTTTTTAAATGCATCATTTCAATCAATAAATGGTAATGACAAGAGGCCACCTAAATTGAGATCGTTTAACTTCCTTAACTCTTATTCAGGAAATATGTTCCAGATATCTTTTATGTTCTCTAGTAACCCTGAATTTTAATTCTAATTTTACATTTCCTGAAACATAATTTAAAACATTTTGTGTGTGTGAGAGAGAGAGAGAGAGGGATAAGAAAGGTTTTTTATTTCTAGATTTTATATCCGATACAACGTGGAGTGATTGGCGAGGTGCGAATAAATGGATTTGTGTATATTTTGTAATTCAGAATGCAAAGTTTTACATTTACCGAGTTAAGCCTACTTCGTGTAGCCACGAGCGTTTTTACTGTAGTAGAAAGCATATTTCGTTTAGTGTTGTTTAGGAAATTTAAGGGTTTTTTTTTACTTTTTATAATACTGTATAGTAACCAGTATACGTAATTTGGTAAATCCAGAAAGGATTATAAAGCAGAATTGGTAAAATGAATAAGGAAGTGCATTTAAATACTTCTTTTTCTTTTATTCTGTATTTTTCCAGACACCTTATCACTTTTCTTGAAGAAATAAACAAGTCAAATATATACAAAAGTGTAATGCTCTCCTATTAACCAAACGTATATCAAAATTTTTAGATAAAACTGTTCGCAGCCAAATGGAAAATTCTGCACTTTTCTGCCTATACAAGAGCAGCTTCTAACACTGTATTACTACCAGTCAAAACGAAAGAAACCAACTAACGCCGTTTTCCCAAACCCTACTCATTTTGTCTTATTAAAGTTAATTACTGCAGAATTTCTAAAGTTATACAAACTTAAATAACATGTATTCAGATCATCATTATATGTTTATACACGTTTAGACTTCAAATAAATTATTTTTTTCTTTCAGTCTAACAACTGCCATCATCGCTGAAAAAAAAGAAGCTTTTCGGGAGGAAAATCCATTTGATCATTTTTTTCTTCGACTTTATGCAACTGTGAACTATTAAGAGTATTTTCTCAGTACAACCAATGAGCAGATTAAGTTATATGCAAATTATGTGTTTCCAGTATTTTAACTGCGTGCTCCCCACGTGGATCTTATGAAGATCTTTATGGTGGAAACCACGTTATGCCTGGTTCTAGCAGTCCTGCAGATACTAAATATTGCTGTGTTGTTGTGCCTAAGTTACCAAATTATATGACAGAAAACAACGCAATAACCATGGTCCAGCAACCGCTGATTGAGGACCACGAAAATACAAATTTAAAAGAGTGTCAACTAGAAATTCCTAGCAGTAATAATTCCAAAACACAACCGTGCGAAGAAGGTCCTATAAATAAGCCTTCAGATTTCAATGTTTCTACTTTAATTGATAACTCAGGAACTTCAGAAATTCATTTGAATACTACGGATCCAGATTACGGTGGAAATAAAAAAGACTATACTCTTCCTTACTACCCTTCTATGGTGCCTAAAAGATGGAAACATTTAAAAAAACATATAATTAACAAACGAAACAGAGGAGAAAACAAAAAAACAACGACTACTAAGTCCTTAAAATATTGTCCTAAACAAATGAAAAAGGGAAAACAGGTGAATGGACTTCAAAAGAGATGGCAAAATTTGGGCAATAATTGTTTCAAGGAATCAGAAGCATGCTCGAAGTATTCGAGAAAGCCAAATAAAGGTTTCGTGGTTATTTCTAAAGGAAGCACAACAAAACTACTAATTAAATCTAGAAAATCTGAGAGAACATCCTGCTCTGTCCAAAGAAAGTTACTTCCTACTGGAAAATGTCGAATTTTAAAACAAAAGAGTGATAGCTTAACTGTCTCACTTAGTACAAATGGTAAAGAAAAAAAGTCAAACAGTGACATAAAGGAATACGAACAATCTCTCTGTCTTTCATCATCTGAAGACAATAATCGACTTAGCCGTTCCAGTCCAAGAAAACAAATGAAAACAAGACAGTCTTTGGAAGATGAACATGGACAGTTCCCTGCCAGTTCTATAGAGCTAAAGAGAGCTAAATCTTCGTACAAATGTCAAATTCCAAAAGTAACTAATCGCAATAAAAAGGTTAGTTCAGTACTAAAGCAACCAAATAGTCGAAGTGATTACTTTCCGTCACAAAGTGTTAACCACAGCTTTACAAAAGTCAAAAAGGTATCACCATTGTCTGTCTATACGAGTATTTACGATAACTTTATTTCATCCGTGACATGCAAACGCTTCAAAAGAAAATCCACTAAACGAAAACTAGATGGGCCAGGAAATGAGTCATTCAAAAAATCTTGCTCTGATGAACAAGGTCAAAATATACAAATAAAAAGGAAGAAAAGAAATCTAAAATCCCAATCACCTGACTGTTCCGCTCATAACAACGTTGATGAAGTGGTTAAAGATGTGATTAACGATATAATTGATTCAGTTGTTCAAACTAACCTCAATGTGGAAGAAGATATTAATTTCCATGAACCTTCTGCGAGGGAAAAAAGCCTTCTTGTAGAGTTCTGCAATGAATATGGATTTGACGAAAATGAATTTTTAAATTTACGAGCAGTTCTTAATCCCTATATAAGATCCCCTGATGATGATGACATGTTTTTCCTACCTCCAAAGGAATGTTCTCAACATAAACCACTGTCTAAAAAGAGAAAACTTGGAAGATATCGGAGAAGAGGATTGAAAAAAGAGTCTATTGGTGGAAACCAAATAAAGACAATGCAGCCAAGAAAACGGAAACCGTACAAGCGAAGAATATCAGGATCTATTCCTACTAGGATATTAAAAACAAGAGCTTCATGTAGAAGAAACAATATATATATTGAAGACTATCATAATTTTAGCACTACTAATAAAGTAACGGAATGTTGTTCAGGCGATTCTGAAACCACTCGTGTACACACAAACTGCCTTGAATTATCAAATACACTGAACAGTGTTTCAGAAAAAAGCACAAATAAAACATCTAAGTTTTTAGACACATTGCACTCTCAAGAACCAGCTGAAAGTGGGATTTTATTAGCGAATAATAATAATGACATGAATGGCACTACTTCTGCTGTTAAAGACATTAGTCTTAAAACTGAACCAGTGAAAGCTTTAGAAAAAGGTAATTCTGAAAATATTGACAATTCAGACAATCTTAGTATTCGCAGTTCTGTGCGTGAGAAAGAAATGTATTTTGAAACTGAAAATGATTTTAGTGGAGTCGAAACTCTCCAAGAAACTGAGATACTACAGCAAAAAGACAGCAATAATAAGGAAACAATAGTAGATCAACATATCAAAAGCAACGTGTGCGAGGCAAAATCTCACCATGTCGGTGACTTAACTTCTTTGAATAATACAGATGAAGTTGGAGTCAGGTCAAACTCTATCGTTCAAAGAAAGTCAGCAATATATGATAAGCATACTTCAGCTGAAGATGCACCTTCACTGGAGAAAATGTCAAACACCACCTTAGATTGCAGTGAAGACAATCAAGTTATTGCTCATGAAACTATAGAACGATGTACTCTCAAGGCCAAAGCTAAATCAGTGCTGGACACGCCTTCAGTATTTCAGAGAAATGTGAACAAAACTAACAATATACAAGAAATTACTGAAGAGCCTGTTAGTGAAAAATGGATTTTAGAGGACAACAAAAACAGCCAAGAAATTCATGAAACTGTAAAACATAGAAACATTAACACTGCTGCCATATTTATCAATGAAGAAAGGGACAAATATCCCAGCAAAACCAGACAGACTTCAATTGTACCTGAGGAACACCATGTAGTAGATATTCCACTAGCAGAGGAGGTAGCTAAAGGGAACTTCACCAGTGACAAAGAAGAGAAGTCATCTAGTAACAATGTGATTACTAAGAAACCCAAAGGTCTTGAAGAAGTAATATTATCTTTAACAAAAGAGACGATTAATGCCAATTGTGAAAGATTGAAAAATACTCCTCATGTTACAACACAAAGTGCAAATAAGGCCTCAGATGACCAAGACATAATATCAGTAAATGAAATATACGTAGGTGGCGATACAAAAATAAAAGCAATCAAATGCTATTCTGAAACCTTTCCGGAAGCCTCATCCTTCACCTGTCAGAGTAATAAATCTCATTCATATGAAAGACTTTCACCAGAATGTGTTAAAAAAGAACTAGATTTGGTACCATGTTCACAAATAGAAAGTACTGACAATAACAAAGAAGAATGCGATAATATGTAAGTAAGAAAGTTATGCAAGATTTTTTTTTTATTTGTTCTGTTGCATAACAGAAGATATTTTACAAATCTATTTTTGTTTATATTTTATATTGATAGAAATAACATTATGACCTTCTTATTAAATCAAACTGTCCTGGCGAGAATAAAAATTGTTTTTTCGTTCTTCTTTCTCGTCTTTCAAAAGATGTAAATATGCTGTTACCAATTTTTACTTTTTTTTTCTTTTAAAACTTAAGTTTAAAAGTTCTAACTGGAATTAGTAGTGGAGTTAAGATGACCGTTCAAGAAATTGGAATAAGCTTAATTTTTATCTTGTATGTTTGTTTCTCATCAACAAGGAAATACTGTAATACTTATGCATTCGTTCATATATTTTAAAAGATTAATCCTACACGCAACGTCTTCAGTAAATATTATATTATTCACTCTGCCTCACTGGATAATATTTTAATTCTTGTCTTTTTAATCATCCGTCTTCTTTAATAATTAAAACACAATATTATGATGACTAACATTTTAATGTAGTCTTACTAGCATACTCCATTTTGAAATGGTGTTGATTCCATAATGGTTCTGTCCCCCATATTCAACACACACCAAAGCCACAAGAGGAAAAAAAATTAAGTAAACTATTTTTACATCCATAATATTTGAATGTAATAATTCTAAGAACAGTTGCGATTAGATAAATTTTTGCAGTAGTAACTGAACATCAGGAAATATTTTACACCTATGATGCTGATGTCACGATCCTTCAACTCTACCCAATAAGGAACACGGCAGTATCATCACATAGAAGTTAACCATAAAATTCCCGATGGAGACACTGGAATTAAGTAGTTTTAAAAAACATATTTCTGAAATATTTGTGCACCAAATTGCTTGTTGATCTGTGATTTTACTTGTTTAGAGGGTCCCTAATAAGACATACGAGTCCCACAAGAAATTTAGAAAAAAATATCGTTCATATTGGAAGCTTATCCTATTAATTACTGCTAAAGTTTTCTTTACACAATTGAGTAATTTTACCTAACGTTTTGGGCCAGTTTTTACAATGAATCTTCCCACAGACAACAATAAAAAAATTACTTATTATGGTGCAATATGCGAGTTCTTTCGGAATAAGCGGCATAAGTCTGTAACTTGAGGGCTAATATGGAAGTATAAAAGTCTGAAAAATGATTTTAATAACACTTTATATTGTATACCTTGAGTATTTGTGTGAACAGAATTGTCTTTCTTTTACTATGTGATATTTCTCTTTCAACCACGAACAACGAGTATAAAGTATGGTAGCAGAACTGGTGAGTAAAGTTGGTGTTTGTTTTTGAGGTCAGTCTCAGCTGTTTGACGGGATTCCAAGGCTATACCGATAATTTCTACGTACTGTCCAAAAATATTAGTCAATATTTAAGTAGTTTTTATGAACTGGCTAGGAATGTGCTTCTGACAAAATGTAGAAGAAATAAAAAAGGAGAAAGAGAGGATGCTGTGTTCATAATTCTTATATATGTATGCCTTGGAAATTTGAGGTATAAAACGCCTAAGTAAGAGGTCTTGTTAGGCTTAAGAGATGTGATGAAAGTCATGCTTGAGTGTAGATGTTTTTATGACAAGTCTGTAAACAAGATTATAACGGATTTAAAGTGAGAATGGGGTAAAATGGCATTGCAGAACTATCTTTAAATCTGTCACAAGTCACTGCCCCGAGTAAAGCCCCGAGTTTCATGTACTGAACACAAATAACATTTCAGCCTGACATTCTAATGGCATACTGAGCTGGGAAATGTATGTTTATTTGTCTGTCTGTATATAGTTATTTTTTTCTGTCGTTGGCATTCGTTTAACTATTAAACTTAGAATATAGGGAAGGTTTTTTAAAGATTTCGTAAATGTACTTTATAGACATTTTATGGGGTATTATACCATGGCTGCACATAACTGCTCACTTGCCATTTTCAAGCACTTTAACGCTTGTAAATGCCCGAAATATAAGCAGAAAGGAGAAAGAAATAGCTTATTATACATATAGATAGATGGGCAAGTAAAGTATAATATACATGCATTTAAAGTAGCATAAGGTTGTTTGTTTTTTTTGTAAATAACGAAAGTAAAACATTTTATACGAAGTAGTTTTGTATTTACTAGCCTTGAAGTGGCTGTTAGTTTTAGGTAAAAACAACATGAAATTGATACCACCTTTTCAGAAAAAAATTTAATTTTTCAGTCCTATTCGTATGAATCGATATATTTATAATTTAATTAATATCTAGTAGATCTTTCTTTCGCTTCGTGAAGTTCGTT